GAATTGTCATATAAAATATATACAAAGAATTGTCAGTGGCTAATCGTGAATCATTTTAAAATTACTATTTCATAAGTCCATTAAAATTTAAGTTATTACTCATAACTTAAATTTGATATGTATATATGTTTATGAAAGATTTTGATCAAATCTTTTGGCATCCTCAATCATATCACGCAAGCTACCAGGTAATATTCTATTACAACAGTTAAATGCTTGTGTTCTCAATTTAATTGATCAATTTGATCCGTAAAGATGGTAGGGATTACACTGATGCAATGAAAATAAAATCGCCATGTTAACAAACTGAAATTCCAAATGCTCCATGTCGGGAAAGTTTTAGATAATAAGCTACAAATCTTACAATGTAGCTATTCATCAAGTTAAGGGCGCCATATGTTCGTCTTTCGGACTAAGGAGGTATAAATTGTCCAGCAGATACGGCCAACATTGTACATTGGTTTTCGTTATAGCCTTAATGAGGTATAAAAATTTAAATATATTGGATTAGGCCCGTTTTTCAAACTACTTCAAGATTCTCAATTCGATTGTATTTTTTATGGTTGTTACTTCAGAACTTTCGACTGAAGGGAACGGTTTTGATGATTCTTTTTATATATTATTATATTAATTTCATTGGTATTGGATCTTGGGCTCCGGAGATACTCAGGGAGCTCCAGAAAATCAATTATAAAATGAATACAGAACGAGATATTTGAAGGCGGTTTTGTTTTTCGTTAATAAAATAATTGACTTGTGCAGTGATTCGAAAGAACAATTTTTGATTTAATAAAATGTAGAAGATGTTATTTGTATAGCTATTGACGAGACAGCAATCTATCTATAAAAGTAACAACGATTGCATTTTCTTTTGCTGCCTTTATCTTAAATGTTTAAAAAAATAGCTCTATATTTTTACTATGCTTAGCATTAAATTTAATGACACACAAAAGTTGAGAAAAGTAGCTGGCTGCTATAAGTTTTTCCAATTCTGAAGACAACGAATTATTTAAAGTTTACTAATATTTTATCATAAATGATTATTAAAATGTACTCACGGCTCGATCAATTATCGTTTATTAATAATATATATAGTGAGACGGTAATCTTGGTCATAAATTTGTTTTTATACCCAAAAGGTTAAAAGGGGATGATCTACTGCGCATCTAACTTGGTTTTTGATTCCTTACTTGGTTATTCAAGTACATGTTCTATATAATACATTACAGTCGTTACCGGGAATAGAGATTGATATTTATTTCTCTGAAATTTATTCATCTGAATACTCAAGTACCCTTAAGTTTTCTTTTTAGAAACGTTGTTCGTTTCTTTGAGTCGAATTGAAATTATTTTGACTGGATGTTACCACATGCGTGTAGACTTAGCTTTGTTATATACAATAACGTGTTTCGGGTTACCCGCTGGCGTGGTATTACAAAATCAATAACGTCGAAATATTCCCTGCGGTGAGCGGGCGATTTGTTGAACATAATACGACTAGCGACTACACGATATAGCTGTGTTACGTTGACTTTTAATTAACCTTTTTCAAGTTGGATGCTGTGCCATATTTGGAGACTAATTATTTTTCTTTCTTCTTTCATCAATTGTATAGCTTTCCCATCAAGTGTTTGTATACATATTTATGAATAGGTGGAAATTAAATTTTCCACGTCATATTTAATAGCAGGCAGCGATGATTACGTGTATACTTTTCCTTTCTACTTGATCTACAATAAAACAACGCTGTAACTTGTGACTTAAATACTTTTTCATTTAAATAGATTTTTATTTCTTGATGAGATTTATACAGATATCGAAATCTTTCACTGTCATAATTGTGGATGGGTTATTTTATTTAAAATGGTATTTTTTAAATTTTTTATTACTTTGATATTTTTGCACTGAGTTATTTTATTGTTTTAGAGGCACGCTTTATTCTTAATTTAGAGAAAGCTGAACTATTACTGGCATACATAACAAGAATGAGTTTTTACTACAAGATGTATATGTGTGATATTTCATTATTTATTTTTCAGTAATGTGCACCTATTAACATGGAGATTGCCTTAAAAGTTAGTGTATATCGGCTTATTATTATAATAATTGGCTTGCTTATTAGCGTTAACCGTAAAAATCATCTCAATCGTTTTAGTTTTTATTATGAAAATCTGTTGCCAAATTGCTTGCGACCGTCGAAACTCTCGCTGCAATAAAATTCACAGCATCCTACATTATACTACACTACTTACAAACAACTACACCAAATAATAGTCATTACAGAGAAAACGGTGCTAAGCTTCTGCAGGAATTAGAACTGTATAACAAACATCTAAATCGCATGTCTTTTAAAGCTAAAGACTACCCTAGAATGGTGTAAAAGTATATTGAGTTGTTGGAGTCGCTTTATAATTATTTTATTTTAAAAAACCAAAAAACTTCGGTCTTCTGTCAGGTCCGTGGTTCTTCCCCGGATGGACCTGTCCATTCGAGCAACAGAAAAGACTTGCGTGGCCATACTTTCACAATGAATGAATAAAATTCTGATCTAAGTAGTACCGGTTCCGAAAATGAAACCTGATTTGAATTTCTATATCGCAAAGTTAGGTAAAGGTTTGAAGACGGCTATCTTGATTACTAGGATATATATTATGATTTACACTGCGATCATATACTACAAAGAAGATTTACTTAAGGAAAAGTTATAACGTTTAAATTTTAGTTATTTTTCATGATTTGGACGGGATTATAATAATAGTTAGTTTCTAATAAGAGTTCCACTGCTATATTAGTTAGTATAATCGATATAGCTCAGAGGATTAGCAAGCTGGAGTGGCGATTGGCCGGCCATATAGCCCGTAGAACCGATAACCGTTGGGAGGTTCTCGAGTGGCAGCCTCGTACTGGCCATCGCAGTGTAGGACAACCTCCCACTGTGCAAATGTGCGGGAAGTCGATGGATGCAGGTGGCTCAGGATCGTACTTCATGGCAGTCGGTGGGGGAGCCCTACGTTCAGCAGTGGACTCAAACAGGCTGAAATGATGATGATGATGATGATGATGAGCAACCTAACTTCTACTCTTGGTGCCAGCACCAATGAAATTGTTGAAAACCTAAAAACTTATCACCTTTGTAGGAAGAAATATGGGGAAGCTGCATATTTTTGAAATAATAAAAATAAAATATATCGAAGATAAAATATAAATATAAAAATAATAAAAATAAAATATGTAAAGTCTGCCAATCCGCAGTGTGGACTGTACAGAGGAGGCCTTTGCCCAACAGTATGACATATACAGCGTGTCGTTACCATCGCGACAATAAATGAACACACGTCTAACGCTACGTGCCAATAATCATAAAAAAATATTAACGTAAAACAAAATCCATAATTAAAAAAAATATTTTTCAAACAAACTAATTAAGTAAAAAAGAAACAAAATTTGTAACATCCTATACAACTCGCGCCACAGCGTCGCATTACAAGCCTCTCCTTCTAACAGTATGTTTTGTCTCTTTTAAATTCATTCAACCCATTCATATGCTTTGTGACCTTTACAAATGAACTTTACGTTACGCTTTTATAGGTAAGGGTGATCTAAAATTCTTTGTTTTGTAAAATTTAATAACTCGGTAAATATTGATGTTTAAAAAATTTAAATGTTTAATACAACTTTAAAAACTTATCCCCTATATGTGTGTTCATTTATTGTCGCGATGGTAACGACACGCTGTATAGGCTGTCACTTTAAGTTACTTTCGTTGATTAACATTTATTGTAGCCGTACAATTTTTGAATTTCATAGTTCTAAGCTTAAGAATTGTAAAGAAATCAAAGACTAAAAAAAACCTTTCAATAAGAAATTCTTAGCATCTGATTAAGTTGTTTTCATATACGGAATATGGACAATTCTTTTTCTTGCAATATGTTACAAATGCTGGCTTCACCGCCATATGTCCACAGTGAAAATATTTAGGTAAAACAAGTAAACTTGCCTCTGAATATAGTGTAATATGACTTTCCTCTCAAAATTACTTTGTGAAATCCTATACTACAGAACTGTACCAAAACTAAAAACGACAGGCCTACTTCGAAAACTCGCCATTATTATACCCAAATCAAATACTCCAACATCGAAATAGAATGGCCTAGATAGGGAGTAAATAAAATCGGTGGAAAGCAATTCAAGCGTCTTGGGTTAGGAAAGGAGAAAAATAAATGTTGTGGACTAACAGTTAAATTCAAAAAAGAGGGAGTATAAATAATATTAAAATCTCCGAAGCCTAAAAATGTCTGCTTAGAATCTGAAACACAAAGATAATGAAACAAACTCTCATTTCATTAGCCTTATACAATGGACCAGTAGTATCATTTATCATAGTGTTGATAAAATTGTCGTGTTAATACACGTACATGAGTATGGCCCATCATATAGTTGCACCAAACACACGTAACTTGAAACATTAAATTTCATTTACCCTTTAAAAATACTTTTGGCATTTTACCCAAATTGTCCAGTTGTTAAGTTTTACAAACAAAGGATGTGGAAGATATTTGATTATGACAAATTAACCGTCCAAGTTTTCGTCGTTTATTAAAAACGTCTGTTTCTTTTAATTTATTTTGTTTACATTAAGTTTCTTTTTTTATAATTATATATAATTAATTCATTTCTCTGGACAAACTTACCTAATTTATTAAAAGGCGTCTTTTTTCATAAAAGAAAAGAAGAAATTCTTCTAACATTTCGTTTATTTAAATTTAAACAGTGGGTATACGAAAAGTGGTAAAAACTTTAAACAAAGAAAAAAGTACTACACCTTATGCCAATATATAACAAAAAAACTTTAATTTCACAAATCTGGCAATGTGCAGTTTATATTAATTTCTTTAAAAGTTTTGAGAACTTCCATTTCCTTTGTGCATTAAAAATATCTTATTAAAGGTATACTATATACGACACCAATGGAAAGCGATACAACGTAGAAAAATACGTACTTCGTTTCGTCTATGTAGACAGCTTCGAGGACTTTGGCGGCGTACTGTAGATTCCTTTGCAACGTTTCCGCGGGTATTTCACCTTTGTTCAACTGTCTTAGCAGATAGCGTAGTCTGTGGACAAAAATTGGTTCAATTACTTGCTGTTAATTAACACAGTAAATGCATTTTCGATCGCATTTATCACGGGGTACTCCACGCAAGGGTCTGGACAGATTAATACTTGCTTCTCAATTTAACTACCGTACAATGAGTCAAATCGCCCCCAAAAATGCCCCGGCTGCCTCACTCACCACAAGAAACGCAGAAGTATAACACTTCTACTTCACGCCGGTATACTGTGAGGTTGTGATGCTTACCCGGACGAACTTAGAGCTTAGACAGTTTATTCTAGAGTGTGCTCATTTATATCAGGATCAAGTAGTTTGCCCTAGCCTAAACTGGTCTATCCTATCTGGCTTAGGACAAATTAGTTTGGACTAGCCTAAACTGGTTTATCCTATCGGGCTTGGGCCAAATTAGTTTCGACTAGGCTAAACTAGTTACTCCTATCGCGTATAGGAACAACTAGTTTTGCCTAGGCAAAACTAGTTACATTTGAGGTGCCTTTATATACATTAAGTTGTGGGAGCGATAGGGCTTATTTATTCAATATTGTGTCCGCAAAAAAAGGCATTAAACAATATTCAGTATTTTGTAATGCAGATATAGCTCTCTTAAAACTAAGTGTAAATGTTCCAAGTTTTTAAATGTGTAAATAAAATAATAGCAGGCAGCGGATGGATGCGGGCTGCCCAAGACCGGGATAGTTGGCGCACTTTGGGCGAGGCCTACGTACAGCAGTGGACGGCAATATGCTGATATTATATTGTAAATAAAAGAATCAATGATAAATATATGATCAAACAATCACAGGTTTTATGTTCATTACATATATTGGACATATTATATTCATTGTTAAACTGCAACACTTCCGCAGATAGCAATAAAAATTATGATTTTAAGATAATCTGAGGTAAGTCATCTTTATGCGTGCAAAATTTTAATTTGCCCAGATGCCTAGAAGCAAATGGATAAATTCTCAGCTCATTCGCCTGCAATCAACTTCAAGCTAATTCAAACGTGTTTTTACATATGTACGTTGAAGATTCACAGGGCAATAACTTAAACATTAAGGGGCCTATTTTCGAACAAAATCATTCAACCGACCGTTCTATACAGAAACAATGAAATGGAAGGCGAAATTGCGATATGGACAAATAAATTGTAATTATTGCTCATTGGTGCTGGAAAAAGGGCTATTCGTTTCAATTTCAGTGAGCTTTATAAACGGCCCTTCTACAGATGAAACTGTGGCTCGTGCAAAAGTGAGGTTAGGCACGCGGAGCGCTATAGCGAAAGTGTAAATAATATACGGATGTGGAAAGAACTATTATTTTTATTATTTAAGATCACTTGGTGGCGCTGTTCGATTCCCACACGGGACAATTATTTATGACTTCTAGATAATTATTCCGGTTCTGGGTGTTTCCCAAGGAGGGTTGAAGTCAGGCAGGGTGCCGGTCGTGAAAAACAGCTGAAACCCCTTACAATATTATTCACATGTTTTGCCAACCCCACCTAGGTGGGATAAGGGGAGGAGAATGACGATGATATTTGGCTAAGGGAAAATAACGTTCACAAAGGACGTTATTTGGATAAAACTATAGTTTCTAATTGCACGGCGCAGCCATATCGTGCTAATTAGCGATCGGAAAATCATCACGTGATTAATTAACGCCACGGTAATTAGCTACGAACGTGTTATAACTTAATTAATTAACTAATAGTGAACTATGTTAAGTGAACCTAAACATATTTTCACAGATTGTATCGCGTCGAGTTTATATAAATTGCCGACAATTCTAACAATTATGAACTTGGTTCCGACTAATTTCTGAGTCTTTCGCATACCCCCTGTACAGAGGAGACCTCTGCCCAGCAGTGGGACATGTATAGGCTGATACTTTACTTTTTTATGACCATTAAATTAATCCAAAGCTTTATTCTTTTCAAAGTGCACATCTTGGATCAAGATGCGATAACCTTAATAACATCTTGAAAAACCCGAAGAAAAAACAAATTATAATAAGTTATTGTACTTCTCAATTTCAGTGATGAGATCGTTAGAAATAAAATGCATAAAAAAATAGAAATAAATGTATTTTCTTTCTAGAGTGATTCCTTTACAATACAGCTTCAAATTATCCTTGAGTTACGATCGGCGTCTGTTGTATAAAATAACTGGGATTATTTGATAGAAAACTGTTGTAGAGATATTCATCATGCTTTTGTATTTCATCTGTTCGGAAAGGTGACTCACCTTATTAAATAACTGTCCCTCTAACTGTGGTGTTGCTTTCGTAATAATACTAGATCATGAATTCGTCCTCCGCCCTCGGTCTTTAATTAATTTTGTGGCAAAAGTATAATAGTAATTGTGTAATAAAGTGTCAAAAGTAACACATAACTGTCTGGCCTCGTTTACTGTGTATAAATTTTAGAAATTTAGAAGAAATGAAAATAAATGTTCTTTTTTTTAATACCGGGATTTGAGTCAATGATAAATAAATCATGGCTTGTTGTACCTTATTTATAGTATAAACCAGTATTTTAATAAACGAATGCCCTTCGCTATCAACGTTTTAATCATTAATAATTTAGGGTTGGAATAATTTACCTACCTATAACTTTAAGTTATTTAATTAAACCGTTGTCAATTGCATTTAATGTCTTTTTCACGAAAACAGAGCGCTGGCTAGGAGGAAAAGAAATTAGTTATTTTTCTTTTGTTAGGCTAAAGTGTAAAAAAAGTATAGTAGGTATAACGCCTTAAGTACACACAAACTTTTTTAAGTATAAACTAATCATTCATAAGAGATACAAACAACAAAAGTTAAACAGGCTGTTCAAAAATAATAAATATAATATCGCCTACTAAGACACATACTTTTGACTACTTGAAAGTAAGGTCATTTTTATCATCAGTATCGTGGTCGTCATTGGACAACAACACAACATTTTCTATGACGTACAATATTCAAATGAAATAAAACATACGTATAAATAACATACTCATAGTAACATGTTAGTGGTAAGACGTTTTAATATTTTAATATTGTAATATTTTATTATTTGTCACTTGAAGTGTTCGTATATATGATTTTCATATGATTTTCAAGTCTAATTGCATAATGAAAGTTATCCTTAATTCCTATTTGAATGAATCTTTCATTAACCTCAACCATTAATATCTCTCTTTTCGTTGTGTTAAGATACATGGGTCTGAAGCCTTATTGATTCGGTAAGTTAATTGAATTTAAAATTAATTAATCAGTGAAGTGCAATCGACATGTTTGATGTCGATAACGCTAATTAAAGTGATCTTTTTTCGTCCATTTGATTTCTGCTTTTTTATTTGATTTAAATTTTTACATTAGTTTTGAACGTTACGTTAAAAATGAAAAGAAAAATGCTCAAAATTTTAATACATCAACACATATTATGTTGATACCCATTTTAACACATGGGAATCAACATTTGCTTGTAAGATTCATACTATCTATCAGATTTTCAAAGGATCTTTTCTGCTGACTCTTACTAGTTTGATCTTAATTACGACTTTTATTAATAGGCGGTCCAATAAGAGTGCACTTCTTGATTTCAAAACACATAGTTATCGAGAAGGTTGAGATATTTCTATTACATTACACAGCAGTCATGTTACGACGAATTATGGAATAAAATATCGGACAAATGGCCACTGCGGTGATAAAAGGCCATGCATAATACCACTTTTCATGAAATTAACGACTTTTTCAAAGATGTGGCCGAATCCCACCGATGACGCGTTGGATCTCAGCCTTAAGCTCAAGAATTGTTTTTTTTATAATATTATTATAAATTATAATTATTTATAAATTCAAGAATTGTACTTTATTCGCATAAAGTAAAAATTTCACATAACCCCAGCGAAAGAAATCGAACGGCGTCAAATCGCATAATCTCGGTGGACAGTTGACGTCAGAATTACGTGAGATGTCTCGGTTTGCAAATCCCTGCTGCAATAACTTGATTGTTTCATGCTTGTTGTGGCATGGGAATCTTGCGGAAATCTCACATCCTCCAGATTCATGCCGTCCAGCTGAAGAACTCCACAAGAACTCCGTTATCATATTTTCGTTAGTTACTGCGATTCCGGCCTCGTTTACAAAAAAGTAATAATGGTCAATCACGGTGCCTGACGAAAAACCAGACAATTGCTCGTTGTGGATGCATTTGTTTCTCATGGAGTGCTCCAGGATTCTCTGTGCCCCAAATTCTTATTTTATTATATAATATATTTGTTTATTCACCGAGCCGTTCAGATGGAAATGTACTTCCGGAATCGGTGAAGATGAGTGTTTTTGAAAAGTCTTCACTCACTTCACTTTGCTCCATTACCCATTGAACGAATTGTCGACACTTTGCATGGTCTGTTGGTTATAGCAGCGTAATAAACGCTGGATTTTGTACGCGCGAGGGTCTTTCGTTAAAATTAAGAACAAAAAAATCAGAGCAAAGTACGGTTATCCAGGTCACTTTTTAATAATCGGAACAATGTTCTAGGTGTCCTAGGTGTTCTAGGAACAATGTCTTCGGTGACAGCTGTCAAATTTCAGAGTTGCCACCTGCTCAGAAAAAAAAACACACAGGTTACAGAGGAGCTGTCAACCATTGGGTTGTCGTTAAAAATGGACCCCGGTCATCTCAATAGCCAAACGGAACGCGAAAGTATATATGTCTACTTCCACGTTTCCTGTGAGGCCGCAGTACTTCCCTGGACCTATCTGTCCATTTCTGCAACAGCAAAAGCTGTTACTTGGCCATCTCAATACTATAATTGTGGGTGTATGTTTTCCAATATATAATTACATGTAAATTTGAACTTGAAACTGTTAGAGGAATGTTAAATAGTGGAATATCAGGAATGACAAAATGCTTCACCATCTCTGCCTATATCGCCTCATAATGTATGTACTAAATATATTAATGATATAGCAAATATTAATTGTGATTTCAAGTTGTAGCCGTTTTAATTCGAATTAAGAGAGAATAAAATAAGATGTTTTAAGCTGCTTAGGTTATATAGAATTTAAGTCTACATATCATATTACCTAATAAAAATATACATACGAGAAAACGTCATTGCTTACAAGTTACTAATACTTATTAAATATTTTTGGGACAATTTTACAGAATTTAACACATATCTCTAAGATTGCCTTATTTACCGATGAGTTTTAACATATGTAATGCTTTTAGTATTTATTTTTATGTAAATCAAATTCAGCCATTCGATTAAGTCCTAATATTCCTCGATGACTGTTAATTTCCGGCTTCGTCACTGTCGATATTGCCATGCCCTCACTATGCCTAGACTTTTTCATACTTTAGAAACTTTTCAACCAAGTATTTGAATAGCCTCAAATTAAAAACGATAAAATCCGTAAGACAATAATTCAATAATGCATTCCTGTTTTTTCTTGTTTGCGTCAAGACAACTCTTTTCTGGCACGAAAAGTATTGTCTTGACGAAAACAAAATTACATTCGATATTCCTAAAATTATAAGTTTGTTTTAAAAAAGTAACGAAGTATATCTAAAAAGTATACGCTTTAAAGTGTTTTTTTTCTTTGTTTCACTATCTGTACTTTAGTGTATTCAATAAAAAATGATTATGTAAAATACACAGTAAATACAGGTACAGAAACGTAAGAAGAATAAAATAATACTGGTAAAGTCCCGTAAGAACGAAATCCAGGCGATTAAATCTCGATTCAATGGGCGCTGTTTATCGTAACATGGTGCAGAGAAAAGACCTTTTGCGCAGAGTACGCCTTTGTTTAAAGGCCAATTGAGTTTACATTGTACTGTGTGTGGATCAATGAAATAAAGTTATATTTCATTTTTCTAATGATCTCTATACTATAACACTCGTCTATTATAATACGCGTGGCTTCAGGTCAAGAGCTATTTTTGAGTGAGTTTTTACCATCTAAAAATACATGATTTCATACCATCAGTTGGGATGTTAATCACGTATTGGTCAGTTTTGTCAAGTGAAATATATACGAGTATTATACCGGTCAGTGCTTAGCAGCTGATGTGTTCTGCTCCCACTATTTAAAGTTGCAACACCGTAATAAGTGGTCAAACACCATCTGGGGCACCGGCCTAGGAACTTCTCGGCGTCGCTCTCCGTGGTGGTTTGGCTGATATTAGAGACTCGTAAGTCTTCTCAATTTGACGTTCTCAGGCGTCCCCTCTGAACTCCTTTATCTCGCATGACAGCTCATCTATGAGCCGGTTAATTCTGGTCTTGACTCTTATACAGTGAGTGTGGGCCTAAAGACTCCTGGGGTTTCGCTTCTCTTGCTGTCGGTTGAGCAGCCTACTGGGCAGTAGGTCCTTACTCCGTCCGTTGCGGTGCGTAGTTCCTCATGTATGTTACAGTGGCTACGCACCGCGTTCTTCAGACAAAGACAGACGATTGTTTAAGCGTTTTTCTGGTCGGCTTTGTTACAGGACTGAACATTAACTTGAATCGTAATCATAATCTCGTTAAATGGGATATTCAGTACCAATGAAATATTTCAGAAGTTAGCGATTACGACGATGATATACGAACCAATGATGATGTGAGGATTATTATTTTATAATATTGTTAAATATGTAATCATACATTACACGAGACACATACAACACGAGAACATGGTGATGTCAGTTTGTAATTAAAAAGACAAATATATTCAACGCACAATAGAAACGCTGATCCCAGTCTGTTATTAATGTCGTCAGTAGACGAGTAACATTAACGACGTGATTATTATTATTTATAGGTCATCTTTCAGACAGCGACAGCCTGATGACGTCTATATATAGAAGACTAGCTTTTCGCACGCGGCTTCGCTCGCGTTGAAGCCCTTAAATAAATATCTTTCAACCCTTTACAACACATTTTTCCAATTAAATATAGCCTATGTCCTTTCTCGGGCTCTATACTATCTGTGTACCAAATTTCATTTAAATCGGTTCTGTAGTTTTTGAGTGAAAGCGAGACAGACAGACAGAGTTATTTTCGCATTTATAATATTAGTATGGGTTTCAAGTCATTACATTTATCACTACATAGTATAAAACAAAGTCGTCCCGCTGTCTGTTTCACCCTATATATGCTTAAATCTTTAAAACTACGCAATGGATTTTGAAGCGGATTTCTTTAATAGATAGAGTGATTCATGAGGAAGGTTTATATGTATAATTCATTCATAATATAGTAAAAAAACGATATAGATGCGATGTCGAAACAAACATTCAATACTGAATCTGTGTGAAGCCGGGGCGGGACGTTAGTATATATATATATATATATACTAGCGTCTATACTTTTTAGAAACGCTTTTTCTGTAGCCACAATCGTTTCTTAACTTCCGGTTGCCGTAACTATTTGTGGTGGCCATACCCTTATGCCATTGTTCACGAAGGATCGTCGATATCCATGACCCGTGAACTTCGAATGGTAAATCTTTTGATCTACATTGTTCACTGAGCGCACTTAATGTATAACGGCGTTCGGTTCTGAGTGAAATATATCTATGGGCTCTTTCATTTAATCTGGTATACAATATATGAAATAAAGAGTGTTCAAGATAAATTTGACAAAGAGGTTTCTATTTCAGAATTAAAGGCATTTAAATGAAAATCAAATAATCAGAAAAAGAAAATGAAATCAGTTCAATGTTTTGCTCTGTCGTCTACTTCTTATTCAAATATACATCTCATGAGCTAAATTAAAAAGCTTACCTGGTACTGTTTGTTGTACAAATATTTTGGTGCGAAAAAAAAAAAGCAAAAAGATACTGGCAATAAAAAGTGTTTGGCAACTGGTAACGCTTTTCATGTTGATAGATAAGTAGACGATTTGAAACCAGTGTGAGTATCAAATCACTTTGTATGTACAATATAAACAAAATACGTCTGAGGAAAATTAACATTGAAATTAATGACGAGTACATGGAATATCTTCAAAGGGCGCTGTTATTCAATATATTTGAAGACGAAAGATTTATTAATTTACGGTATTGTTTGTACAACCCGCGTTGCTTCACATCATTATATCACATGGAACACCACGATAAGAATTTAGGAAAATATATTCAATGTTTCCAAATTGGTTATAATGTTTCTAGTAAAGCTTATAACTTTTAATTAGAAGAATTGTTAATTTGAAGTTATTATGTATATGGAAATTAGTATTCATTACGCCAAATTGAAAGAATGTTGTTTATCAATTAAAACTCAACTTATGGTTAAAGCATATTATAACATTGCGGAATATCTCGACGACGCCAATGTGTGGCGTTAACACTGTAGATACGTAGGCTAGAATAAGACTATTATACCTGTATGTTATATTGTAAACTGATATTTTTGAAAAAGAGCAACTGTTGAGTTTCTTGCCGGTCTCTTCTCAACAGAAACTACTTCCCGAATCGGTGCCGGTTGTACGTTACGAACCTATATACAATTTTTTATGTAAAATTGGACGATTCATAAGAACGCACAAGCGTCTATTTGAATAAAGATATTTTTGATTGCTTGATGAGTACACAGATGTAACCAAGGATTCTTACATGTCAAGTCATAATGGTCAGCTGAGAGTTGCATAAACATTAAACAGAATACGCTTGTAGTTTTATTTAATCAGGGTACGTACCTAAGAGCGGCTTTGTCGCAGGCATCGGGCGTGTCGACGGCGGGCAAGTGCTCTGTTTCCAAGTCTAGCTGGTCCAGCTGTTCATCAGTGGGCGTGGGGCAGCCCTCGCCTTTGCCACGGCTGGACGAGCGACGGACTATTGTCAAGGCGCCTTGTTCTGTCAACAAAAGAGAGCGAACCTTTGAAACGACAATACACGAATCGGATAGTGCCGAATACGAAGTATTTTCGCTTCGCTTGCGATCGGTTTATGAATAACGAAATTGCAGTAAGAACATATTATATAATGACGGCAAATTCGATGTTAGTAGAACCGATTCTTTATATTGAACAGATAAATAATGAAATTCGAAGAATTTTGGAGATTAAAATATTCTAATCGTTAGAAAATTTAACACGAAATTGAGTATATTGTTAAATAAAACTATTTTATGGGTTTTATCGAAACTTTATTTCTAACACTTTGCTTAATCCATGGCAATAAACTAATGGAATAGTTTGAAAAGTCTGTAATTATACCAAAAATTAAACGTTAAAACGACGAAGAATGTGCATGAAAAGATTTAAAAGATATAAAGATAAAAAAACAGATGCACAGTTATCTTCATTTATTTGAAGGAACACAGTCATCGAATTTGCACCATTCGTTTGGAGATTTCATTGTATTGCATTTCGATTTAGAATTCGCTCAATTTAGAGCGCAGCTTCCGACGGTGTCTGTTTGGGGAATGCTATTCACAATTTTTAAGCCAAATGCCTTTTGCCCTATTTCAATTGAATAGAAGTGAATCTTACCGCTCGGTTATTTGCCGTGAACGATAACCTTTAAGTGGAATTCCGTGATGTCGAATTTTTTACAATTACAAACTTTCTGCATTTCCGATCGTTTGATTGTTTTGATTGTTTGATTGTTTGATCGTTTCTTAAACTTACTCAGCTTTGTTAAACGATAACTAAATACAACCCATTTTTTTAAATCATACAGATATTTAATCATTATTAATAGGCATTAGCGAAGAATATTATTGATATCAATTCATAATAATATATTATGAATTTTATTTATATAATGTTAGAGTACAAAAAATAGAAAAGTCAGGCATTGCAAAAAAAAAAGCATTACTTGACGATTTTCAGAGTGGAATATAAGACAGAAATAAACTACAATTAGAGAGTTGTCAGACAATGTCTGCCCACGCCCGCTGCCGCTTTTAATTCTCTTCGGAAAAAGTGTCTATAGAATAGTCCCAGGTGTAACTTAATTAACTATTTTACTACATGAAGTAATACAAAATTTATTAGTTTACAAGCAGTAGATGTTTTGATGTAACTTTTGGACCAAGGTTCTTTCTACGCTAAAGAATTAGGATGTTTTTACGATTTAAACAGCAAAATTTTAATCAACTTTTAATATGGATCATGGTTTAGTAATGAAGATTTATTCCGAAAGAGGCTTTTAAACTGCTACGGCACGGAATACTTCACTCAATTTTTTAAATTTCATTTATATTTTATGTTTCTTTATAATCTGTTGCCTTTTAATACTTACTATAAATGTTTCTCTCCTTCGATTCGTATTAAAATAAACTCATTTGTCATTATAGCAGAAAAGTAACATACTGAAACATTTTACAATGAAATTGTTTTTCGAGACGCCTGCGCTTACATTCACGCTTACAAGGTTTGTTGGCATGGTAACTTTTATAAAGAAATGTAGTCTTTTTTCGGGTTGTGTTGAAAATCAGGCTAAAACATGAAAAGACGATCGAAATGTGGCCTATAAAAGAAGCCTGGGGTGTGCTAGAAAGTAGTTCAATGATGGATGGATGAAATCAAATTTGAAAGAAGAAAAACAAAAGTGAATAATACAAAAGTGTAAAGTGAAAAGTGGTAGTGAAAGTGAGAAGCGAAAACAAAAGTGTCGTCGTACCTGTTGAGTATCACAATAAAGCGAAGATATACTGTTTTTTTCCTCCAATCATGGAAACCTTGGTTCGTAATAATAGTGTAATATATTTACATAAAGGCGTGCTACTTGACGTAAAATATCTAAGTACTCGTAGATAGGTAAGAATAGTTTCTAGGTAAGTAATTGTTAATATTAAATTTAAGAGAAAAATCTAGAGCTAATAATAAAAAATATGTAGAGCTAAAATTATAGTGTTTTTTTTAAATATTGCCCTTTATGAGAAAATTATCCTGTGCTGCTAGGACGTTTCACAAACATAAATATCATGTGGACAAACACCCCGATGCGAAACAAATATCTGAGGGCTGTGTGTGGTTCTACGAGCTATATGGCCAGCCCATCGCCACTTCAGCTTGCTAATCCTCTGAGCTATATCGTTTATCTTGGTTCTACTGCGGATGTCTTCATTACGAACTCTATCATACAGAGAAATACCGAGCATAGCCCGCTCCAAAGCTCGCTGAGCGACTTTGAGCTTTCCTCATACGGCCAGCAGTGAAGGACTATGTCTCGGTTCCGTAGGTCATCACTGGCAACACACATTGATTGAAGACTTTAGTCTTCAAACATTGAGGTATATTCGACGAGAAGATTTGCCGAAGTTTCCCGAACGCTGCCCATCCGAGTTGGATTCGCCGATTGACCTCTACGTCGAAGTTGGACTTACCTAGCCGGACTAACTGTCCTAGGTAAACGTACTCATCAACAACTTCGAGCTTAGTGCTCCCAACAACAACCGGTATAGGTGTGACATGGACATTAGACATGATCTTCGTCTTGTCCATGTTCATCTTAAGGCCCAACCGTTGGGAGACGCTGTTGAGGTCATTGAGCATAGCACCCAGGTCCTCCAGCGATTCTGCTATGATGACTATATCGTCGGCAAATCGAAGGTGGGTGATGTATTCGCCAATAACCGTTGGGGAAGAAAGGTTCTCGAGTGGCAGCCTCGTACTGGCCATCGCAGTGTAGGACGACCCCCCCACTAGGATGGAGTGACGACCTGTGCAAATGTGCGGGAAGTCGATGGATGCAGGTGGCTCAGGATCGTACTTCATGGCAGTCTATGGGGGAGGCCTATGTTCAGCAGTGGACTCAAATAGGCTGAAATGATGATGATGATGTGTGTGGTGTTACTTCTGAAAATAAAGATCCAAATTGTTCAAAATGCTTAAATGTTAATTTAACACTAGTTAAAGTTTAAGCTATTTTGTTTTATTTGGTTATTTTTTTTAAGTTTTTTCCATTTCAATTTAATTTGTTTATAATAGTTATTAAGTTACGTTGTATTATTGTCCTTTTTTTGTTTAGATTTAAATGCATTTTGTGGCAAGAATATTCAAGTGCTGTTCGCCTTTTTATTTAATGATGCCCAAAATAAATTTAATTATTTATCTCGATGCTCTGTTAGCAACGATAATTTTTCTTTTCAACGCGTCAATTTGCTTTGTGTTCTCTACTCAAAGAAAATATTCGGCTTGCTCGTTTTTCTTTTTCCTTTGTTTAATCTCGCAGCGTGGGGAGCCGCTCCCCGATACGACTGACAGCGGAAAAAGATTAGTTTAAAATCCGTGAAATCTTGTCGCGATTGAATAATAAAGACGCTTGTGATATCGCGAGAACTGCCTTAATTGATCATACTCCAGTCTTACACTGATATCGTTTTCTTAGGCTAATATGTAATTTAAATTTTGGATAAATTATATATCCGAAAAAAATATTAGACATCTGGTTCAGAAAACAAATATGTAGTTAAGTAAACGATTGAAACGTAACGTTAATATCTGCATCCTTTCTTCTATTCCTAAACGTTTGTTTACGCACGGCTTTTTCTTAATAAGTTTCGTACTTTAAAATATTTCCTTGTTCACTTATGAACCAATATGGCGTACATATTTAACGTCGCTGGATCTATTTTTGAGTTGGAAACTAGCGTAACAATTTATATCACTTTGTTTGCTTCAATTGGACCTTGGGCCAGATTCCCTCGGCCTTGAATTAAATTGGAACCTTTTCTCTTGGTCACTCGTGTCTCTGGGGGACAATACGAAATGAGCAATCTAAAAAATAAATGCGGCACTGCCCAAAGGTCGGCAGGCACTTAGCTTTTAAGAGGAAAAATTCTTCAAAACGCTAGACAGTATTATTTATTCTTAGTTACTTAGATTTTGTTTTGTTATTATATCGAACTAAATCACGAATGGATGATTTTCATAAATATTGTTTTTTTATGAAATTATGTAATTTGTCAAGTACATTGACAATGCTACATTGTTTTAGCAAACCTTAAACAATGATATTAAATTATATAATTTGTTCCAATGAAAAAAAAAAAAAAAAAAAAAAAACAATACGGTGAATGCAAAATTTAAATGTGACCATTTCGGAATAAAAACCTTTCGAACATAAAAAGAATTTTGCAAATCTGGCTAAAGTTATGACGGTATTATTATATATTATACATAAAAAAAAAACATATAAACATCCGAATTGATAACCTGCTCCGTTTTGGAGTCTGTTAAAAATCAGTCGGTAAAAGTGAGTAATACAGGAACAGAAAAAGAGATATAGGCAAACATTTCGACAGTGTTGTTAAATCGGTCTAAAATGTTGCCCCATATGAAACGCGGCCGGGCTTTCATCGATTTTCAGTTAAAACGATAAAATCTATTCAGATTTTACGCTAGCGCTGCAACTTTGCAGAAATTATTCCGCCTGCATTTTGCACACTAAAAATTAACTGATTGCAGTTAGAGTGACAGTGCTGTATTGTTATAGGAACTTTCCATACTCAGCAATGAAAAAAATACATGCAACATTAAACATCCTAAAAACTAACAGACAAGTATCATGTCACTAAAATATTAAAATAGCAATTACATTTTAACATGTAAGAGGAACAAAATAAAGAGACGAAGAAAGATTCAATAAAACAAACATTTAAATTTCTAAGTACTCATCAGACTTCCTGTAAATGGAATAGAAAATTAAACTATACAAATACGAACTAATATTGTGTAACTTTTTGAGGAATTCATTTTTAGTTTCAGTTAAACGGAACAGCGGAATCATTGCACGAGTTTATTTTTAGCACTGAATGTTATGTTTTTTCTACAATACTAAGTTTTTTAAACAATACTTTAAACAACATTTACGTGTTATATTTTAAAATTTTGGATCTTTGAGACTAAATTTATTTGTGGGATTTGTAACGTTATGTAATCTCAAAATAACGTTATACTAGTTTAATTAGAATTGTAGTCATTTTGATAGAGTAGTGTAATTTTGATTCTAATTAAAGAAAATTAAAATGTTTTGGTGATAATGTAACTGATAATAAAACTGCTGTAAATATATAAATTCATTCTATTTCATAAATTGTTTTACAAAAAAATACTTAAATACATAAGAAAAGAAAGAACACCATGCAAAATTTTACGCTACACAATAATCTCATGCTGTGTTTAAAATTAACAGAGATCCGTTATAGTCTTAAAATTTTGTTATTGTTACAAAATATAGTAAAATGCGGAGAAAAGGGTGGTGCGGCTACAATAAAATAGTGAAGAGAGGACATCAATTATTATAAAAGGTGCGAAAAATATGTTAGAAACACGTAGCTATCGAAAATGTGCACGAATTGACACCACGGCTATCACGATGACTACTGAACCGCAACGTTCCATATTCAAATTTAGCAAAATATAAATTCAGTGTTCCATTTAATCCCTCTAAGCGCTTTATTCTATTAAGCGTAACAGTATTAATTTCCATTATATTGTCTCTTTAGGAATTTGTGAGAATATAATGTGAAACCTTCGTAATAACGAAGTTATTGCTAACTGTTATTTGGTAAATTAATTATTTACCAAATAGAAAGTTATATGTTACAAAAAAAGTAGGCTCGTTACAGTTGTAATTTTTTATTTAAAAATAAAATTACTCTTTGTTTGTTGTATCAACCACTTGCATTAGAGGCCTTTACAGATCCACTAGATTTGAGGTGGCCAGGCGCTGTGGGTGCCTAGCCTGTATCTCGATTTTGGGTAACTAAGCTCGAGGGCTCCGGTGGGAGCCTCGGCTCGGGCAGTTACGCTTTTATAATTTTCATCGGTTTGGGAGGCCACCAAGCTCTTAGGTCGCTTTGGCGGACGCTCCGTGGAGTAACTAGGCTCAAGGGCCTCCGAGAGGGGACTTCGGCTTGGGCTGTTACTTAGTACCCGTTTACCATTCCGATTCGAGGATGCTCGAGAGGGCTGGACATCGGCTCGATCGGTAGCTATAGTCTGACTGGAAGATTTTCTAAAACTATCATTACTACCACTTCGGAAAGCGTTGGCGTTAGGAGCATAAAATGTCGTAACGTAAAAGAATAACGCCGAGTGATGGAAGTTGGTCGGTTTTAGTGATCGCGAAAGCCGTTACTGTCGCGGGGCGTGCTTACTGGGCGGGGTGCCGTTGCGGGGCGCGGGCGGGGGCGGCGGTCGCGGCGCGTCGTCGCGCGGCGCGCCCGCGCCTCCCGGCGGACTCGCCACTGCAAATCAACCAATGCCTCGGTTAAATATATACAAAATTTATATATATATATATATAAAAACATATTTTTTATGTGAAAAGTTGCCAAGCGAGCAGACGGTTCACCTGATGTTAAGTGAATACCGCCGCCCATGGACATCTGCTACATCCGAGCGTTCCAGATGCGTTGACAACCTTTTGAATATTGGGCTCAGGCCACCTCACTCATCAGACGAAACGCGAAAGTATTATACTTCCACTTTACGCCGGTCTTCTGTGAGGTCGTGGTATTTACCTGGACGAGCCTGCCCATTCGTGCAACAGTCGAGGCTACTGCGGGGCCCTACCACCGATAAATATTATTTGTATATGACATTTTGTGTACATAAATACATTAGTAAGTCTATATATGAGCGTGTTTTTATGTGTTCTCTATAATTCTTTGAAAGTTTATCAATGCCTTGACATGTAAAATTAGATATACAGGAAGCTATTTCATTATTTGTTATTAGACTGTGGTTATTTTGTGTTGATTTATGGATGTTATAATGCCTGCCATATTATTATTATATTACGAAAAGCCAAACATGCTTTTTTTCCCCTCCGTCTACTAATTTTTCGTATATCGTCGACTGAATCGGTTTCTATCCTAGCCGTTGACAGTAAGAGAACTTTTCCAATATTAATCTGGGCTGCTATTTGCAACGTATTGACGAACCACAAGAGTTAGCAGTTAAGAGTGTTACGCCAAATAAAGACCTTGATCATTGCTCGATAATGAAAATATTGAATATATAAATATATATTGAACCAAATCTTTCCTGATTATTCATGTAGACGTAACCAAAGAGCAGTGTATTCTCAAGACGTGTAAGTTTTATGTGAAAGTTAACATAACTACTACTTACTGGAAATATTTACTTCATTGAAGCGCATTGCATAAGCTTCTACATACACATTAAAAGAGATTTTAAAATGTAAAATCTTATATAATAGATAAAATTCTAAAACAAAGGTACTACCCAGGTGGGTAGTAAACGTTTTAGGAACCACAGTATTATTATGGATAGGAACCACTATTACGGCTTTCTGACATGAAAATCTTGAAAGTGCCTTTCATCTAGGATCAAAAAATAAAGAGAAAGATTATCTATTTCTAACGAAAACCTTATTTAGACAACATCTTAAATATTCATGTCTTACAAGGCTTTTATAACATATATATGATTCTTTAAACAGTTGAGACGACGAGCGGCTTTCTGTTATGGATTAAGAGCTACCTTAAATCTCAGCGAATAGCAAGAGAAAATTGTAAAAGTTAATGTATTCATACAAAATCTGATTTAAAAACTTCTTATAAAAATGTACGATACTGCCATCAATTTAAAAGATAGTAGGCTGTATCCGCTATTCTTCAAATAAGGCGCCTTTACAATGGAAGGCATCTTATTTGAATTTCTTTATTAATATAAATACTTATTTATTATTAAAAGTATTACAAACAAATCAGATACAGAGTTTTCCAGGGCTCATGGCAAATGCCGCATTTCATTCTGCTTTGACGTTTCCAATACTGAAATGTAGATCGGTAAACAAAGGCTTCGCTTTGCCAGATGAAGTGGCGTTGTATTTTCAACATCCGAAAGCGTCGACAGACGGCGCCGAAAGTGCATCTCCGTTATTTACGATCTAAGTCGATGTACGAGTACATTTGAAATTGGCTGAAAGCTGCATGCCCGCATGATCGATGAGTTGAAGCGGAAAGAGGACTTAGATTATGATATATTCTTTTAAAACAAGAAGAGACTTGGCAGAATCCCTTAAATGATGGCTTTTGTTTTTTTATCACATGGAAAACTAGAATTCCTGCTTCAAATGCTAAAAACGTATACGTATGGAATGCTAATGGGCTAACCAACCACTCAAACGAGTTAAAAACTTTTCTTAAAATAAATAAAATAGGCATAATGCTAATATCGGAAACTCACTTCACATCTAAGAGTTATTTCAAAATTCCCGAGTATAACTTATACCATACCACGCATTCTGATGGAAAAGCATATGGAGGGTCAGCAATTCTTATAAAAGCTAATATCAAACACCACCAATGTCAGTCATATTGTAAGGACTACATCCAAGCAACCAACGTAGTAGTGTACGATAGGAATAGTAAGATCACAGTTCCAGCTCTGTACTGCCCCCCAAGACATACAATTAAAGAAAGTCAATTTTCCGACTACTTCAACGCACTAGGCCATCGCTTTATAGCCGCAGGCGACTACAACGCCAAACACACCTTTTGGGGGTCTAGACTCATCGTGCCTAGGGGTCGGGAATTTTTAAAATGTATTCAAGCAAATAGTATGGATGTTATCTCTACAGGACAGCCAACATATTGGCCTACGGACAGAAGTAAGATACCAAATCTCATTGACTTCTGTGTCACCAAAGGACTTACGAAAAATAATATATCATGCTATAGCTGCTGGGATTTATCGTCAGATCACTCACCCATTTTTATAAATATCGAATCTGAGGTAAAATTGACTCTAAAAAAATGTACATTCCACAATAAGAAAACTAACTGGACTCTTTTTCGATACTTCATAGATGAAGCATTTAAAGTACCACTTCCACTCGAAACAGAAGATGACATTACGAATGCTGTTGAATTCTTTAATACAAACGTACAAAATGCCGCATGGAACTCGACTCCATTAGATCAATACAAGACCGATGCTCAATCTATGGCCCCAAACCTATTGGACTTAATTAAGGAAAAAAGAGAGACCAGAAAATTATGGCAAAAAAATAGATGTCCTCATACGAAAAAAATATTCAACCACAAAGTAAGAGAGCTAAAACAAGTTCTGGAACGAGATAGAAACACTTCCTTCCAGGCATACCTAGAGGGCCTTGATGCAACAGCAGCTACAGACTACTCTCTTTGGAAAGCCACTAAGAAAATAAAAAGACCGATAGTAACAAGTTCACCATTTAGAAAACCAGATCTCAGCTGGGCACGTAGTGATCAAGAAAAAGTAGCTACATTTGCGGAACACCTGGAAAAAGTTTTTCAACCCCACCCGTATGAGGGTTTACCCGAACATGAAAAAGAAGTTATCGAATTAATTGATATCCCCGACCAGGATGATATCATACCAGACTACTTTACTAAAAGTGAAGTAGAAAATATTATTAAAACAGCTAACTCTAAGAAAGCCCCTGGATATGACCTAATTACCAACAAAGTCTTACAGGAACTACCAGACTCTGGAATAACATTACTCACAGCAATCCATAATGCCATCACCAAACAAAAAGTCAACCCGCCGCAATGGAAAGTCGCACAAATAATTATGCTATTGAAACCAAACAAGCAACCAGAGGACCCGAAATCATATAGGCCGATTAGCTTATTACCCATACCTGCGAAAATAAACGAATCCCTAATATCACGCCGACTGACACCATTAATAGAACAGCGCACATTGATTCCCAAAAACCAATTTGGATTTCGTAGTAAGCATGCCACCATTGAACAGGTCCACAGGCTAATAAGCGAAATTGACAAGGCATTTGAAACTAAAAAGTACTGTGCTAGTGCTTTTTAGACATATCACAGGCCTTTGATAGGGTATGGCATAAAGGCCTCTTATTTAAAATAAAATCTCGACTCCCTACCTACATGTACAAAATCCTAAAATATTTTTTGGAAAACAGACACTTCCTAGTCCAAAACGGCGAAGCGCTCTCAAATCTGTACCCTATTAAAGCAGGAGTTCCACAAGGCAGCGTGCTAGGCCCAACTTTGTACCTTATCTACACATCTGATCTACCAACTTCAGAATGTATCACCACCGATACTTTTGGTGCCGATACCGCAATCTTAGCAGTCCACTCAGACCCAGTTGAGGCAGCGGAACTCTTAAAGTGTGGGCTTAATGATATTTCCACCTGGTTAAAAAAATGGAGAATCAAGGCTAACGAAACTAAATCTGTAAATGTTACCTTCACTCTAAGAAAAGGCACTTGTCCACCCGTCAAACTAAATAACTCAGAAGTCCCTCAGTCAGACCATGTCAGGTATTTAGGATTACACCTTGATAAGCAACTCGCCTGGCAAAAGCATATTTTCACAAAAAGGAAACAACTAGGATTACAACTACGTAAAGTGTATTGGTTAACTGTCACTAATTAGCAAGCTTTTACTCTACAAAACGATACTTAAGCCGATCTGGACTTATGGAATACAGCTCTGGGGGACAGCCTCCCATTCCAACATTGAAATCGTCCAAAGATTTCAAAACAAAATATTGAGGATGATAACCGATGCCCCCTGGTTCGTCACAGATGAACAACTTCATCACGACCTGCATATGACCACAGTCAAACAGGAAATACTGTTCTATACAAACAAGTACAAAGAAAGACTTAAAGACCATCCGAACAGCCTGGCCAATGTCTTGATGAAAGACAACACTACAATCCGCAGACTGAAACGGAAGATACCCCAAGACATACTTAAATCGCAACAGTGAAGTAAAGTAGGATGCGACACAGGTCGTATACCGAGCATGCCCATAACAAACCCATCAAACCCCCTGATAAATGTCCCCTTGGTAGATCCCTTGGACAGATCGCAGTGAAATGAGAGACAAAAAAAAAATGCTAAAAACCAATGTAGATAAAAGACGTTAAGATTTTCGTTGGTGAGGCTATCAGCCGTTTAGCTTAGTGGTTAAAGCGTCAGGCCGCGAATGCTGAAGACGTGGCTTCGATTCTCACAACGACAATCTTTTCGTACTTTTTCTACATATTTTAATATTTTTATGATGTGTTCTGTTATGTATTCATTTATTTTTACTGTTAGAACTCACACAACTTAAAAAAGGGAAATGTTTCATTTTAAAAGTCACAGATGCAAGTGTTCCCACGTAGAAAACACGTGGGAAACCGCTATTTACTATTATAAAAATTAAACATCTTATACAATATAAATTACATGAAGCTACATATATCCATGAAAAAATCTCCTTAAAATTTCTCCCTGAAAGAGAAAAACTATTTATAAAATTACTGTAACTCATGATATTATCAAACAAGTTATCGACGAAATCAAGGAAAAGATGAATGGAGCGTACAGAATTGCCAACTGCCCGTACGACGGTCGTGTAGGTCTTATGAATAAAAATTCAGTAGGCAAATACAACTTGGGACTTGGGAAACAATTCAAACTGTCTAACACTTGTTAATGTTGGCACTATCTAGGGTAAAATTATTGTTAAATCCAGTAAAAGAGACGATGAAAAATTTAAGCACTATTCTCACTGACATACAAATCCGATCCGTTTAGGTAAATATGTTTCCTTTTCACAACGCGATCTATGTTCATATTTTAATAAAATAAGTCACCAAAATATCTAACTTTCTGATTTATAATTTGATTAAATAAGGTACCTAGATATGGATTTCATTTTTCGAGAGTAGACTTCACCGTTGCACGAATGGGCAGGTCCGTCCGGGAAAGTACCACGACCTTATAATATAATATCTAACTTATAAGCATAGACTGGAAACAGTCCACGGAACGAGATTAAATTGAAAAAAAAAAATATTATTGTTCAAATATAATTAACAATAATAAAGTTATTTTAAAATAATTTGATAAAATGTTAGTTTAATTGTGTTTTTTACCAAAAAGTATTTTTTCACATAATTTTATAAAAAGCACAGTTTTTTGTTCTGTTTATGACCCATAAGACTGACGTGAAGTGGAATTGTTACACTTCGTCTCTGGTGAGTGAAATAACCGGGGCCCACTTTATTAAAAAGTGGCAACCCATCTCCAACCCTACAGGCGGTTATCACTTATAAAATTTTTCTCTTCTTCACTTTCTCATATAAAAAATTTTTGAAAAAGAGCAACTGTTGAG